TAAAGCCACCCTGAACCCGTGCTTTTGAAGGGCTGTCATCCCACGTTATCCCGGAGCAGGGGCTCAGCACAGCTCAGCTCCCCGGGGACCGTGGGCTTGACAGCTCCATCAGCGGGTGTCCATCCTTCCTGCCCACGGGTCACTGCCCTGCCCGAGGAAAGGGCTTTCAGCATTTCACGGGGCGTATGAATTATTCTGTTGGCTTTGCACAAACGGCTACGTGAGAACACAGCTTTGTTTTCTGGGGCTACTCTTGATTAGTGAGCAGCGATAATTTTACAGACAACCCTTGTCAAAGGAAATTCAGACGTCAGGATTGATGAGTTTATTTGATTCCTGGCATATGCCCGTGGAGCGCAGACGTGCTCTTCTGCTCCCTGAAGCATCTCGGAAGCAGCAGAGCCCACGTGCTTCTCGGATGCAGCTCGGCCAGGAGGTATTTTGCTGCCCGTGCTGTTAATCCAGGGACCTGGAACATGGCTGCTGCTGTTCGTGATGATAATGATCTCTCCTAGAGGTGTTGGGAGTGGAGATGGTTGGGGGACTGGAGGATTAGCCCGGGAGGCAGACAGGCTCAGTCCTGGAGGGAGCTGCACTAGGGTGAAGGAGCTGCTCTCCTTTAACATGGAGGTTGTGGCCATGAAGCAGAGCGATTAGGTTCATTTAAACCCACAAAAAATTTCCTAGCAACCTTAAAGCTGAGTCTTTCTGCTTTGCTTATAAGAAGGTGGCAAGTGAGTTCTGCCAGCAGGCCTGAGGATGTGTGACCTGGGAGAGCATTCCCCGGGACAGGCGGGTGGGAGCTCTGCTGAGCCTTTATCACACACTTTTTGTGCCTTTTCCTTCCCTGCAGTTAAAATACCAACCAGGAGGACGTACATCGACCCGGACACTTGTGAAGACCCCATGCAGGCCGTGCACCTCTTTGCCAAAGAGCTGGATAATGCTAGTATTAAAATTGAGAGGATCATCGGGACAGGCAAGTTCTTCCTCGGGGGGCACCGGGGCGGTGTCTGTGTCTGTGGGGCAGTGTCTGTGTGTCCGTGGCCATGGGGGGGTGGCCGTGCTGCTGGCAGTGCCTGTGCCCAGCCAGAGCGGTCCCCTCTCTCTGTGGCACACGGGGCTGGGGGGTATTTTGTTTGGGAGCTCGATTTTTGCATTCCAGTTTGTTTTTCTGAGGCACCGAGTACAGCCAGCCGAGGGAGGCAGAAAGCATCAGCAATTATCTGCATCTGGGCAGTTTGACAGCAGCATGAGAACTATTTATAAATATGTGAACTTAATGATTTATTGATTTTCATCAACTTCACTGCCTAAAACTTAAAAGCAAATTAAAATCCCCTCACTGGGCCCTAGAGCCTTAATCGCTAATGTGTGCCAGAACATGGGAAACACGATTATTCTTTGTCATTTTTTTTCCTAAAGATAAATTCAGCTGCAGGAAAAAAAAAGAGGTGGAGGAAGGGAAGAGGGGAAGGGCTTGTGCACCAGTTTAAAGGACAGCGTTGAAGGGAAGAGGACACTGAAGAGGAGAGGAGGTTATCTTTGTAGCTGCCGAGTGGAGCAGCTGAGATGCTCTTCAGAAACAAATCGGTGTTTGAAAAGTCAAGAAAAATAAGTCAGGAATATATTTAAATAGAAAGAATTTGGGGGTGCATTTGTCTTACTGCTGACCTAACAAGTACTTGGCTTTCAAATCGTTAAAGCTTTTAATAGCTACACATTTTTTGCTGTAAAGCCAATATTGGCCTTTTATTTTATGAATTGGGTGGCTCCTGTTGCCGGGCGCGTGGCTGTGCAGAGGGGATGCTCTGCCCCTGGGAGGAGGAGACCCTGCTGGTGCTGAGAGGGGAAGCAGGAGGGTCCCAGCCTGGGGAGTGTGAGCTCGGTGATGGGGGGCTAATAGTTTTTTCATGAGAAAAAGCGCAATATGCACTTGAGCAGAGTGTGGATGGAATGGCTTAGAGGTGTGGGACGAGGAGGAAGGGATTTCATTGCACCACACATGATTTCAGTATCCCGTGCTGATGCCAAACCTGTGTGTTCAGCAGCGGGGAGGGGGGAAGATGGTGAAGCAGAGTGCTCAGGTGAAGGTTGTAGCCACGCAGGGCTCCGTGTCTCCGAGCCTGCTGGGGGAAATCTTGCTTCTCTGCACAGCAGGACACATCACCCCTTCCACAGGAACGCGCTCCGTGGTCCCAAGGCAAAGGAAGTGTCCCTGGAGGGAAGGTGTGAGGGACGTCGTGCCCTGCGTGGGTGCTGTCTGACTCCTCTCTCTGCCACCCAGGGGAGTTTGGAGAAATCTGCCGGGGGTGCCTGAAGCTGCCCAGCAAGAGGGAGCTGCCTGTGGCCATCCAGACCCTGCGTGCTGGCTGCTCCGAGAAGCAGCAACGCTCCTTCCTGGCCGAGGCTTGCACCATGGGCCAGTTCGACCACTCCAACATCATCCGCCTGGAGGGGGTCGTCACCAGAGGTAGGGGGTCCCGGGCACGGGGGGGTCCCAAGCATGGGGCAGGCTGAGCTTGCAGCATCCTCAGAACTGCTGCTTTGGAGCGATGACCTGATGCCAGAGGTGCAACGCTCTTGCTCTCTGGAAATCAGGTGTTTCCTCCTGTAGTAGCTATTTTAGCCTTCTGATGATTAATAAAATGCTTACGGCTAGACTAATGAATCCAGGTAGTAGGACTGGCTTAGCAGCAAAACTCTGCACTCTTAATAAAAGCAAATTGAAGTGAGGTTCTGTCAGTAAAACAGATGACTCCGACTGCTCCCGGCTCTCGTGGGACTGTGTGCACTGAACTGGTCTGCGGATGCTGTAGTTAAATGGATGTTCATGTAAATCCAAAGAAACGTGAGCGCGTGTGCTGATTTTAACTAGCCTTTTTATTAGGTGAGGAAGTATTTCTGTCCTGAGTCTTGGGCTGAGCTGTTGCCTGTGCTCTCACTGAGCGGTGCTGTGCTCCTTTGTGATGTGGTTCAGTGTCCTGGTAAAAGGAACGTCTGATATTGGGATCCAGAGGGTTCCCAGCTGGGAACCACAGAAAAGCCTCGGACCCACTGCTCATCACAAACTGCCTGAGATAAAGCCCACATCTCCTTTAACCTCTGGGCAGCCCAGGCTGGTCACCCTGGAGTTTGGCACCCAGATTTCTCACCCCCACAGTGTTACAACTGCCCGAGCAATGGGCAGAGCTCACACAGGGCTCCTTGTCTGTCCGTGCAGGGAGCACCATGATGATAGTGATGGAGTACATGGGCAACGGCACGCTGGACTCCTTCCTCAGGGTGAGTGCTCTGGGAGCCCCTGGAAACTGCTGGGGTCTGCTGGTGGTGCCCCCTTGAACTGGGCGTTACTCACCTTTGGCTTTTCCTCCTCTTTTTTTCACAGAAACACGAGGGCCAGTTCTCAGCCGCCCAGCTGGTTGGCATGTTGCAGGGGATTGCCTCTGGCATGAAGTACCTGGCAGAGATGGGTTACATCCATAAAAGCCTGGCCGCACACAAAGTCCTGGTGAACAGCAGCCTGGCCTGCAAAATAACTGGTTTCAGACGGCCACAGGACGACAAGATGGAGACCATCTTCTCCACCATGGTAAGCTGCAGTTCCAAATTCTGTTGTCACTGCTCCCCAAAAGCAAAATGCTGTCAGAAAGGCTACAGAACCCCCGCAGAGGTGGGTGTCCCTGGCTGTGGGCACGGCTGTGCCCAGGACCTGGCATCACCGGAGGGGTTTGCAGCCCACTCGGGACGCAGAGGATCAAATAAATCCAAAGCCAGGGAGCTTCCACAGGTGGAGTTAATATGACACATGGCAATCCTGCTCCAGAACCAGGATTTTTCTGAGGCTCCCATTTCCTTCCTCATGTGTGAACGTGGGCTCTGCCTCTCAGCACCACCTTTCTCCGCTGGGAAGGGAATGTGTTTGGCCAGGGACCCGCTCCTTGCCCGCAGCCCGGCCCCGTGTCTCTGTGGGCTGGCAGAGAGGTGGCTGGAGGCAGCTCTGGCAGCCTCAGAGCTCCTTATGTCCGTTTTTATCAGTTGTAATGAAATTCATGGTTTTCAATTAAGAATTTAAGTCCTACTTGATTCACACTCCTGCCTTGTCAGCTCTGCCAGGCGGCACGTCTCCCGAGCACTGGTGTGTGTGTGTGTGTGTGTGTGTAGGAGCTGCCCGGGAGCCCCTGGGTGCAGAGTTGGGGGCTGCCCTCGTACCCCGAAGCCCCCCAGCCCCCCACTCTCCCCCGGGGTGTCCTTCACACACGGCGTCAGCGCGTTTCCCTGTTTGTGTCCAGTTTTGGGCCCCCTACCATAAAAAAGACATCGAGGTGCTGGAGCGGGTCCAGAGAAGGGCGACAAAGCTGGTGAGGGGTCTGGAGAGTAAGTCTTATGAGGAGAGGCTGAGGGAACTGGGGTTGTTCAGCCTGGAGAAGAGGAGGCTGAGGGGAGACCTTATTGCTCTCTACAACTCCCTGAAAGGAGGGTGTAGAGAGGTGGGGGTCGGTCTCTTCTCTCAAGTCCCAGGCGACAGGACAAGAGGAAATGGCCTCAAGTTGCGCCAGGGGAGGTTCAGGCTGGATATTAGGAAAAATTTCTTCACTGAAAGGGTTCTCGGCCATTGGAATGGGCTGCCCAGGGAGGGGGTTGAGGCCCCATCCCTGGAGGCGTTCAAAAGACGGGTTGATGTAGTGCTGGGAGGTATGGTTTAGTGATGGTGATGCTCCTTGTTTGTTGTGTGGGTGTCTATTTTTGTCAGTTAGGTGACGGTTGGACAAGATGATCTTTAAGGTCCCTTCCAACCTAGAAGATTCTGGGATTCTGTGAGCATCACTGCGTTCCCCACCGCAGAGCAGTGGGACCCACTTCATTTGGTGCAGCTGCCCCGTGTCAGCCGGGGCCGTTAGTGCAGCGTGTTAACTGGGCATTAATATTTTAAAAAGCATCAATTCCTCACTCAAATGAGCCCTTGCTGTGTGCAGGGAGCAGCGGGCAGCACCGAGGAGGCTGCAGCTGCTTGTAGGAACCTGGTCCCGGTGCAGGGGATGGGGGTCCTGGGGGGAAGGAGCCTGTTGGCAGGGTTTGGTCTGGGGCAGGGTTTGGTCTGGGGCAGGGTTTGGTCTGGGGCAGGCTCTGCAGGAGCTGCTGCCATCGAGCCGGCCAGGGCAGGAGGAGTCTGGAAAACTTCAGCCATTATCAGCTTTGGGAGGTGCAGGCTCAGCGCAGGGGGGGCACCACTGTCCCAAAGAGCCCCTGGCAAAGTGTGACCCCCACTCACTGGCCATGGGGAGCGTGTCCTGCAGGGCTGTGGGCTCTCCTGCCCAAAGCTCCCTGAGCTGCCCTGGCACCGTCCGGAGCAGCCCCCGCTGAGCCAGGGGCAGGGAGAGCCCAGCAGGAGCCCTGGCCTCTCCCACCACGGCACAGTGGGGCTGTGGCTTTGGGGTCAAGGTCTCCCCACTGTTAATTGCAATTAGCTGCATTTCTCTGTCACCTGCTTCCCCTGGTGCATCCGGAGGGTTCTGCAGATGCCGAGAGGGGGGTTGCTCACTGCAGGAGAGCACGGCAGGGTGGAGGGACTCTGTGTTTGCGCAGCTCTGAAATGGCTTTCATTAAATATTAATGTAGAAAATGCCATCAGCTCTTCCCAGAGACATTCTCTTCTGCCATTAATATTTCAGGACTCGCATTCCCGTGTAGCATACAGTTGCGTGGCCGTTTTAAAACAAATTGAGGTGAAAGTTTTCTGTTAGTACTAAATCAGCACACGGTGTGTGGGCTGGCTCCGTGTCTGCCTTGTGGTCCCAGGCACAGCTTTCCTCCCTTTCTGCCCCTCCAGCGAGGGAAGAGCCTGGTGCTGTGGTTGGCCCCCGAAGCCATCCAGTATCACCACTTCAGCCCGGCCAGTGACGTGTGGAGCTTCGGCATCGTCATGTGGGAAGTGATGTCCTACGGGGAGCGACCCTACTGGGACATGTCCAACCAGGACGTGAGTCACCGGCAGCCGCGCAGTAGGTGATGGCGTTGCCGTTGCTAATGGGGTGGCAGGTGGCTTCACGGTGCACGGAGGAGCTGCTGGGGGGTGTGAGGAGGGGGGGCTTGCCCCGGGGGATCCTGCCATCAGCAGTGCTTGACCCTGTCCCCTCACCTCCTCTGCTGCAGGTGATGAAGGCTGTGGAGGACGGGTTCCGCCTGCCTGCCCCAGTGAACTGCCAACCACCGCTCCACCAGCTCATGCTGGACTGCTGGCAGAAGGACCGCAGCCAGAGACCCAAGTTCTCCCACATCCACAACATCCTGAGCAAGATGGTGCAGAGCCTGGAACCCCCGCAGTGCCCCAGCTCCACCTGCAGCAGGTGACCCCCCCCACCTCCTCCTCCTCCTCTTCCTCTGCTGCCCGTTGTTCTGCCCGTTCCCCTCCTCACCGCCCCGCTCTGTTGGCAGGTCCCACAGCACGTCCATCCCCCTCACCGAGCGCACCTTCTCGGCCTTCCCGTCTTTCGGCTCCGTGGGCGAGTGGCTGGAAGCGATAGAGATGGGCAGGTACAAAGACAACTTCACCGCCGCGGGCTACTGCTACCTGGAGTCGGTGGCCAGGATGACAGCCCAGTAAGTAACTGGTTTCTTGGCTCTCACTGCGTGTCGCCGGGCGTCACTAAACGGGGGACAGATCTTCCAAAACTTGTCTGTAAGGTCTCGATGGCGTGAGCCGGGGCTGCGTGTGTCGTGCGTCTCAGTTGCTGATTTTTGACGTTGAGATTTAAACCTGGAGTTTGTGAGTTGAACCTCTTGTCTCTACACAAGGGTGGTGTTGCCTTTCCCTTCTGGTGAGGCCACACCTCGAGTGTTGTGTCCAGTTTTGGGCACCTCAACACAAGAGAGACCTCGAGGTGCTGGAGCGAGTGCAGAGGAGGGCAACAAAACTGGTGAGGGGGCTGGAAAACAAATCGTATGAGGAGCAGCTGAGGGAGTTGGGACTGTTTCGTGTGAGGAAGAGGAGGCTGAGGGGAGACCTCATCACTCTCTACAACTACGTGAAAGGACACTGTAGAGAGGTTGGTGCTGGTCTCTTCTCACAGGTAATTAGTGACAGAACGAGAGGGAATGGCTTCAAGCTCCAACAGGGGAGGTTTAGACTGAACATTAGGAAAGAATTTTTCACCGAAAGAGTGGTCGGGCATTGGAACAGGCTGCCCAGGGAGGGGGGGGAGTCCCCATCCCTGGCTGTGTTTAAGGGCCGTTTAGATGCAGTGCTGAGGGACATGGTGTAGGGGAGGACTTTGTAGAGTAGGGGAGATGGTTGGACTCGATGATCCCAAGGGTCTCTTCCAACCTAGACCATTCTATGATTCTGGAAAGCAGAGTCAAATCTCATGCCATTTGCTGATAACCTGTCACAAGACAGCGTGGGGGCAGCCCTCTCACACCCGGGGTGTGCTACCCCCAAATTCCTGAGCCCCTATCACTTTGCTGGGACAACAGACCGGGGGATTTCTTGAATGGTCTGAAACCTGCTGAAGGTTGATGACCTGATGACCAGGCTGATGGTCAGAAACCCTGTGCTGCCCTTCCCCGGGAGCAGTTGGTGTCGGGGCAGAAACCCTGTGCTGCCCTTCCCCGGGAGCGTGTCGGGGCATTTCATAGAATCGGAGAATGGTTACGGTTGCAATTTCACAGTCTGAGCTGGTTTTTTTTGTGGCTGACGGGGGGGGCTCGTGTTGCAGAGATGTCCTCAGCCTGGGGATCACGCTGGCGGAGCACCAGACCACCATCCTGAGCGGGATCCAGACGCTGCGAGCCCAGGTGATCCAGATGCACGGCCGAGGAGTGCAGGTGTGAAGCAGCCCCCCGAGGTGCAGAGCAGGGACCTGGCACCCCCGGGGAGGGGACAAGAGCCGGCCCCGAACCGCACCGAGTCTCGGAAACGTCGTGGTTTCAGATGGGCTGTAGAAATCACCAGGCTGCTGTCATTCCACGTGGTGGGAGAGCAGGGCTTCCTGACCCCTGAGCCAGGGAAGCTGAGGATTCCCAGGACGTGTGTGTCGTGCCTGGTGGACGTGGCTCTCCCCAGCACTGTTTTGTAAGCTGAGTCAAACTGTAACGATGCCATTTCCTATGGTAATTAGGTGAACAGGGTGGATGGACATTTGTGCACTGTCTTAATCCAGAGCTGAGCATTTTCGTATCTAGCATCCTACTGGTGAGATCCATGGGTATTTTTATATACAAGGTGACATGTTCTAGCAACCCCACAAGGAGCTTTTATTGCTTTTATTTTTAGAGACCAGAGCACAGCTCACACCCAGCGCCCACTTCTGGAAGGTGACTTTCCCCATCTGCTCTGCTGAAAGGAAACTCTTTCCCAGCCGGGTCCCTTCTGCTCCAAGAGTTACTTCACTGAGTCTTGACGCCACAGTTGGTGAACAAAACCCAACTTTTGCCTCTCTTCCCTGCCTCCTGCCTTGTGGTCAGTGGGCAGAGTGTCCCACATCTTGCCTTTGGGCTTCCTGGGCAGCTGTGATGGGCTCTGAGCCCTTCCCTGGGCTGACACCAGAGCCTGGGCTCTCCCTGCTGTCAGCTCAGCTGGAGCATCCAAGGTGTCCACTCTGCCTCAGAGCAGGAGATGGATGAGTGCTCTTCCCTCTCCAGCTCTGGAAGCTTTTGCAGAGAAAAAGGTTGTTGTTTTTTTTTTTTTTTTTTTTTGAACAGCACTTAATTCAACCCACAGCAGCAGGAAGGAACCTCCCAATTCAGCCAGAAATGGGATGAAAACCTAGGAACTGGTTTGGAGTCAGAGACAGCGGGCATGGCTGTGCTTTGGGTGGACACCTCCGGTGTCTCGACAGCGGGCATGGCTGTGCTTTGGGTGGACGCCCCCCCATGTCTGCTCTGGCCACTGGAAGGGCTACCTCAGCTGTGGTGAGTGCCTTCCACTCCTCTGGCTGTCCCCTGCCCGGCTGGGAGCAGGGAAGGGGAAGGCAGGAGCTGCCTGGAGTGTCTGGGCTGTGCCAGGACCTCATTTTCCCCGTAGGTTTTGTGCTGGGCAGAGGTCCCTGCGGCACCCCCAGCCTCTGCCACGGGGCACAGCCTGGACCTGGGTGTCTGAGGGGCTGTGCCAAGGGGCACCAGACTGACTGGTGCCAGGGCTTGGGCACAACTGGCCACTGCAGCCATGGGATCCCTGAAATCCTGCCGTGCAACCCGGGGCACATCAGCACTTTATTTTGTTGCAGAGCGCGGCGCTGCTGCCTCGCACCCTGGCAGTTCCCCCTGACGGAAGGCATAAATAGCATCTGCTTAATAATACAAGTTTCCTTGAAGTTAGTTAATTAAATGGGTCTTTGCAGGCTTGTACGGAGTTTTGTAAGCCGTTTATTATCATCTGTAAGTATTGCAAGTGAATTATTAATGACGAATAGCAAAGATTTACACAGGGAGTGAATGCTGAGGGAGATATTCGCAGTCGGCTCCTCCTGGGAGCCTGCTCCCGGGGAAGGGGACTCCAAATGGTGATGGAGCAAAGGGCCCCAAGGCAGCCTCTGCCCTGGCATCTTCCTTCTCTCCCAGCTGTGCAGAGTGGCAGGACCCTGGGTGCTGGAGTCTGAACTGGGATCCAGCTTCTGCTGAGTAAGGTCATGGTGGTTTCCTTCTCCCCGGGGTTGGATCCAGGAGTGCTGGAGCCTGATGGAGCACAGAGCTCCTGAGCATTTGCTGCTCTCCGGGGTGAACAAGGTCTTTCTTTCCTACCACCACTCTCATTCTCCAATATGTCACTTAGTTTTTTTAATGGGAGTAATTTGTCTTTCCGTTTGGCCCGTGGCCGGTCGGTCACTCGCCATCCTGCTGCTTCACACCCAGAAGAGTGATAACGGTGAACAAAAACCTTCATTTGGTAGAAATGCCAGATCCTGAGGATCAAGTGCAATTTGTATGCTCTTTTATGTTTACATTTTATCTATAGAGAAATTATATTATAGTTCTCTGGGCAGAGAGTTGAACCAACTTGATTCCGGATCCTCTCCCTGCTCCTGTCGCCTCCGCCGGGGTTTCCAGCAGCTCCATCCTCGGGATGCCCAGGATTCTGTGGAGATGTCACCGCTTTTGGGGCTGGCTCCAGGTTAGTGCAGCTGCTCTCCAGGAGGTCTGGGGACATCCAGGGCTTGGTGACAAGGTGGTTCAGGGTCTGGGACACAGCAGGCAGCGACAGGTTTCTCTTGACCCCCCCGGGACAGAGTTAGCTGTCTAGCACTGCAACAACAGGCACTTTTAACTAAGCTCCTCATCAACACTGAAGATATTAAAATATGCAGATTAAGCTCTAGATTTGGGGTGGGCAGGACACGTGGCTCCGCGGTACAGCACTCCCTCCATGAAACCAAAACTGGAATCAAGTTGGTTTATCTCCCGATGCTTTTGATATTCATTAACCATGTGTTATATAGTGTAAATACTTACTTGAGAAGTCAATATATATTTTTATAAGCTTGAAACAAATGTAATATAATATCATAAGGGACACTGTGTGCATTTCATGTTTGAGCTACAGTCAGACATCCCCAGGGAATCACTGTTGGTTTGGAATAATTAATAATAGTAATAATAATTAAAAAAAAATGGTACTAAAGATCTATTGACATTTTTGTTAATTTTGTATTTATTGAACTATGTTTAAAGATTGCAATAATGAGATACCTAAATACCGAAGTAAAAGCAACCACTAATTCTGCCCTGGCTTGGCTTGTGTGGGTTATTTCAGGTGTTCTGATGAGAAGTGCCCCTTCAGCAGGTGCCGGGGGGCAGCTCTGGAAGCAGCGAGGTGTGAAATGGGGGTGTTGTTTTATCAAATTTGGGGTCCTTTTGCTGCTGCAGAGGTGACAGTGGAATTCTGGATGGTGGTTTCTTGCTATCGATGCTGGGTGAGGGGGAAGTGCCCATTACTGACGTGGTGTTCTGTAGGCACAAGGCTCTGCTGTTGGCCCCTGGGGATGCTGCTCATGGGGGGCAGGACCCCAAAACCTTGGAAGTGCTCCCTTCTGGATGGTGGTTTCTTGCTATCGATGCTGGGTGAGGGGGAAGTGCCCATTACTGACGTGGTGTTCTGTAGGCACAAGGCTCTGCTGTTGGCCCCTGGGGATGCTGCTTATGGGGGGCAGGACCCCAAAATCTTGGTTAGCACTCCCCGTGTGGAGCTGTCAGTACAAGTGCAATTGTCAGAGCAATATCCCTGTTGTGTGAGAGTGTGGGGACGCTGCTGAGCAGAGGGAAAACCCTGCAGTTACTGTGCTCAAGGCATGTGATTGAGTAAATGAAAGCAGAGTATGGCCAGCATGTTAAATGCAAACAACATTTAGAAATAATTCACTAGCTCCCATTATCCCTTTCTTGGGCTGCTTAATTTGTTGGCATTAAGGGCACACAAGGGGTTGCTGTCCCACTGCAGCACTTCATGCGCTGCCTGTCGTGGAGGCAGAATTTCTGTTTTATCAGGTCAGGCTGCTGCACTGAGCGGTGTCAGAGTCCCCCTGTCTGAGCTGGGAGCTTTGTCCTTAAACTTGGTGCTCGCAGTTTTATGGCTGCCCTGTTGCAGTGATGGATTGCACGGGCTGAAGCTGCTGCTCCCTCTCCCCCCACCCTCTGCTGATGGAGCTGACCAGGCCGCCAATATTTTCAGCACAACAGCCCAGAGAAAGCCCCTCTCCATCTAATTCTGCTTCCCTGATCTGGAGGTTTGAGGGGAAAATTACAACCTGGTCTGCAACTGTGCGTTTGTCTTGTATATTCAGCAATGGACCTGCAGCTTCTGACACAGGGGGTGTCTTTTTGAAGAGGAAAACAAGGTCTGGAACAGCACAGCCACCACTTCGTGCGTGGCTGGCCCATGGCTGAGTGGTGCCAGCCTCAGCTCCTGCACCCAGAGAGCTTCCTGGGATGAGGAGTGGGGGACATTGCTCTCTGGTGACAAAGGAGGGATCAATAAGATGTTATGGCCGAGACACAGTAAAATAAATGGGAGAGGCAGCAGGAAAAGGCAGGTGCTGCCCCAGATGGGGGCATTTTTTAAATCATGAATTGCATGGTGCTGATGAGAGCAGCTGGCACAGGGTTTGGGGAGAGCAGAGGAGGAGCCAGTCCTCCTCTTGCTTCTGCTTTCCAGCCTCAGACATGAAATCCATCCCATTCCTCGGTGGGAGTTTACAGCTGCGTGGCCCGACGAGGCCAGGATGAGCTGCCGCTGCCTCAGGGACAAGAGTGATGCCCTTGGAATATTAAAAAGAGCAATGTTTAAATATGAAGGACTGCTAATTATCAGGAAGAGCTGCTGCCATCTATCACCGTAATCAGTGATCTGTCAGTTCAAGTGTCACTGGGACGGATGCACCTTTCTTCCTTGTATTAATCTCCCACTGTCCTGGTGAGTGAGGAAGGGGCACGGCCAAACCCCACGGCTCTTCCTGCCCTCCCCCAGGGCTGTGTGTCCTCCCCGCTGTGGTGCCACCCTGGGCTGGGTGGCCACCAGCAGCACTGGCCCCTGGGTAGCCTTTGCACTTACTGTGTCCTGCTGACAACAGACCCATCTGCCCGGCAGCAAGAGATGCCTGGAGCACTTACTGTGTCCTGCTGACAACAGACCCATCTGCCTGGCAGGCACAGGAGCCATTTAATTACACAATTATAGATGTCTTTGGCAGCCTTATCTTGCTGAGGCTGACAGGCACCTTCAGCATCAGACAAAGAGCCGCGTTATCACCTGATGGCAGCGGCCACCTCCCTGGGCAGCAGCCACCGTGCCGCAGAGTCTCTGCTTTGACTTGCAGGGAAATGCAGTGTGTCAGGTGTCACGTCACGCTGCCTCCACACGGGATGTGCCACTGCAAATCAAACGCCCCAAAATAAAACTTTTCCTCTTAAAATAAACTCGTCACTGTAAATTTAAACTCTTGCCAAAGAATCGTGATTCGACATGAGTTGCTTTTGCCAGTAATTTACAAAAGTGGGTGGTTTTAATTACTATTTATAATATGTGTGAGAGTCTAAAGAGAGATACAAAGGTGTCTGTGTCCAAATATGCGTTAGCTGTACAACACAAACCCCACATCCCTAATGTAGCTCCAACACAGCAGAGCTGGAGAGGGAGTGAAACAATTCCCTCTGAGCCATCGCGTGATCCCGGTAAGTGCCAAGGGGCTTGGGGATGGGCTGCCCTTCCCACTCCATGGAAAAAACAGCAGCAGGGGAGGGAAGGGGGAACCATGATGCTGGGCTGCTCTGTGCTGCCTCTGAAACCAGCATCAAGAGATGACAAGGGGACAACAAGATGTATAGGCTCAGATCAGAATTTTGCCAGACTTCCCGTGTCAGCGAGGAGCTGGGAATAAAAGGAAATCTGTCAGAGTCCAAGAACCTAAAATACAAGACGCAGCGAGGAGCTGTTGGTTATTGATGATGAGATCTCTGAAATTTGGCTGCTATGCGTCAATGTCAAACTGCACTGAAAGATTCTGTGTGTTCCTCTGATTAAAATTCAGCAGCCTGAGGTACTTTAAGTGGTTCTCGAGAGACAAAAACTTACAAAATTCCGCAAGGCGAGACGGGATCCTGTCTTGTCAACAGACCGCAAGAAAAATTTCAGTTTCCCAGCCTCAGGAAGGGCATTTTTTCTGGGAAAAGCCACGATCTGTGGGTGATGCTGATTAGCACAGTCACTAATCACGATGGCTCGCTTGATTGGTGTATGCAGCCCTGGAACCACGGGGAAACAACGAGGCGGTGGCATCTCTTGGATAATCACGATGGCTCGCTTGATTGGTGTATGGAACCATGGGGAAACGACGAGGCGGTGGCATCTCTTGGCCTGTTTGGCTGCAAAGACAAAATGCTTGTGGTGAGCGTGGTGCTGGCAGTGCCATCAGACCCCCGTGTCCCCTTCATTCAGTTTGCCCATGGGACCCACCCAAGCCCCAACCACAGCAAATGGACCTCAGGCAAAGCTGCTCCACATTGGCCACCACCCATCACACAACAGCCACGTGTCCCTGTCACCCTCCTCCTGGGTCCCCAACCTGTCCCAGCCTCCGCCAGGACACAACGAAATGCAGGTGACAAAAGAGCAAGGTGGCATCCGCCAAGGGCTGGGGCTCCATTATTGATTTGAGGAATGTTTCAAACAGATCATTTATTTTCATTAGACTTCTGCCGACGTCTTCATATCAGTGTCCCCTACGTAGGTCGACATCTGTCCTCGGGAATGCTTTAATTGCATTTTCTCCGCTTTACGCAGCTCTTAGCTAATGCATTCTGGCTTCATTAGATTAGACACCTATTGTCCTGAGGATGTTGTCATGTTTTCAAATGGCTTCAATCAGCACCTCCCAGGCACCAGCTATTTTGGGATATAATAAAAGTGAAACCTCATTCAGGCTGGGTGAGTAATGGAGGTGCATTTCCCAGCCCCCATCCAGCCTGGCTTTAAATTTGACTCACTGACATCCCCCTGGATGCCGGCAGAACACAATTAAGCCTCTTGTCTTGCAGGCATTGTCCGCGTGGTTACACACTGCTCTGAGGAAGAGCTCTGCAACAGGAACTCGGTTTCTAATGATCTTGTCATCGGGAACAGCACAGAGAGATTAAATGAAAGACCGGGGGAACAGTCAAGATCAAAACTCAGATTTCCAGATGTCCAGAGCATGGCAGGCTCATGGCACTCCGTCTTCTCAGACCCCGCCTGGCAGAGCAGCTCAGGGCACTTGTGTGTGCACCTACCCTTAATGAGAGACAACAAAACACAGGGTGACAGACTCAGAGCCCACCCTCCACCAGCAGCACTGGGGGCTTCTTTCCTTGGCAGCTCCAGGCAAAGGCCCTTCTTAGACCTTGTTCTGCTGCACCTCTTTCCCCCAGGACCCTTCACCAGCACTTACAGCAGCTCCAGTCCCTGCTGCAAATTGGCCACGGGCTCAGGAAATGAAGGCAGAAGGGTCTGGGGCAGGACTCTCCCTCCCCAGTCGCTCTTCTCAGGCAAAAGGGTCATCTCAGCCCTGTCCTCTTGGCACGAGCTACCACAATATCTGTATCTATCCTTTTCACCCCACAGGCGGTATTTTGACTTCTGGAATTCATCTTACCTACACGAGGGACTCTAAATATATCCCAGACAATTTCCTCTCCTCATTTTTAATAATCTCTTTCAGCATTAAATTAGTTTTTGAAAATATGTATTGGGATGATAGGCTTTTTATCACAGCTGATAGACAATATTCATCACCCCCACGTCCTAATCCTCACAACACACACGCATTCATTACAGTAGCTCCGCATCAATTTTAACAGCACTTAATTCATTACAACTCCATTACTGCCTGTGCATGCTCCCCGCAACGACTTCACCAGCCATTTGTCACCTGGGTCCCCATGGTGCTGAGGTCACTCCTCAAGCCATGGGACGGGATGGAAGATGCCACTCTGTCTCCACACATGAGCAGGGCTCACTCCAGAAACCTCATGGGGGTGACAGATGGAAAAGCAGAGGTATAAAATCCCTTTTCCTGCCCAGGATCCCTCTCTCTGCTCACCAGGCTGCGAGTGCACGGGGTGTCCACACCCCCATGGGCACAGGGAGGCCGCAATGAGGAGCCACGATGCCCAAGTCAGGCCAGAGCCAAGGGAGTGACATAGTCTGGAGACTGGTGACAACAAGGAAAATCTCAGAAGATGCATTACAATGAGGGTGCAGAGATGGCGAAGCTGCAACCTCTGCCGTGTCCCAGGAGCACAGAGTTGTCTACCTGGCAAAAAATAAATCTCCTCAAGCTCACTGTGCAAAAAGACCAAGGACACAACAACACAGCCACCCCCCGGTCCCTCTGTCAACACCTCTCATCGCCCCTGCCAACAGCCAGCACCTAGAAGAGTAAGAGCAGGATTTACACTCCTCAGCCCACGTGCCAGGCGGTTTATGGCACCGTAAAATGTCTGGGCACCAAGCAAACACAGCTGAGCAATTCTGCACAGCCCTGTGGTTTCCAACACTGCTTTATGACTCCCTTCTACTGCTTTCCCTATTGCCCAGGGCTCCCACCCAGAGCAGAGGACGTGGGACAGAGGAGCGGGTCCCCCATGTTCCCCCTTTGCACTGGGGAGCACTCCCTCCACCAGCATCGCAGAATTAGCCCAGAATCAATTCGACCCACTCTGCCAGGAAAGGAAATACCCCACAACGCTGCTGGTGCCACAGGTGCAGGCAGAAAAGTGCTGCCATTGAATACCTGCAGAGAAAGATCCATCAATAATCCTTGGAGCCAAAAGACAATTATGACCGTAGCAAAGAATTTCAGCCTCCAAACAGGACAAGAATATCGTTGGCGCAGGGAGATCTTGGGAAGACGGAACAGCAACATGGTGGCTCTGTATTTAATATTTTTACTTCTAACCAAAACCAAATTGTGTTTAAGCACAATAACAGGTAAAGCCAGATCATTAGCAGATGTAGAGAGAGAAGAGAATGGCAGAGACCTTCCCTGTAGCCCACAAGCCCCTGCCTGGGTCCACTACGTCCCAGCACCAGCCCCAAGCCTGGCACATCCCCTCCAGAGTGGTCAAGAGACCACCACAAGTCTGCAGCCTCCAAAAGCCCTGTTCTGTGCTGTCGCTGTGCTCCTGCCTGCACTGCCCACAGCCAGGGCTCGCCTCCCCCGGTCCAGGCTCCTGCTCTGCATCAAGAAACTTCCCACAGCAAACAGCAGACACAGCGGGGAACAGATGGCGAGTGCCAGATGGGTGAGGTGTCTGAGGAGGAAGATGTTATTACCTGGAGTGAGCCATGAGCTCCAACCATCCCACTCCACACTATCGGCAATTAACTCAGGCTATTAACATCAAACTTTGTCTCCAATAGTTCCCTCCCTCCCCCCTTCTAGGTGAGCTGGATATTCAATGGGAAAACGAACCTGTAATTCATTTCCAGCAAGATGCCTGGTTCCTCAAACAAGCGAGAAACCGCCAGAGGGGTTATTTGCCAAAAATAATGGGATTACTATCGGTCGGCGCCATCCCAAAGGGAGAGGGAAATTGGTTCTCCCTTGCAAGGGCTTTTATTTATAGCAAGCAGGTGCCTTGTCGCTGTTTCATCCTGTGCTGGCACATCACGGATGTGTCCTTGCAGGGGATGCTCTGCCCCACAGAGCACTTCTCCACGCGCGGTCACCGCTGCCCTCTCTGCTGCCAGGGGGGACTTGGCTCTGCCTCGTTTGTTGTGAAGCCCAAAGCTATTGCTTTTCACATCTCTGCCCCTTTCTGTCTGGCGGGATAACAGCATCCCTTTTTTTAACCTGTAAGAGCTGCCAGCTCCAAGCAGCTCTTGGCAAGCAGTTTCCTTGTCTGGGTGATTCCTACAGAGCTGCATCTCCCATCCTCTTTGTGTGCAGTAACTGAACCACAGAAAGAGAGCAGGAGTGTCTGCGAGCGCGCACCAGCCGAGTGCTGGCCCTGGCCTGGCCATGCTCCCCTCCTGGGCTGCCCACTCCAGACAGAAGAGGTTTCAATCGCACTTTCCATCTGGCATTGATTACCATCCAATTCCTCCCACCTTCATTTGCAGTCAGCAGCGGCGGCCTGACTGACATTGAGGGGGAACAACTCCTCAGATCCCATCAATCAAGTGCCATCCGGATCCAGCTTCCCGGGCTCCTGGACCACAAGGTCACCCCCAGAGGGGCATCAGCAGATGCAAAGCTCTCCTTGTGCCCCACGACAGGCAGGAGGGAGACCTATTCTGTTTGTGCAGAGGAGTCAAAGCCACCCAGCAGCAGGGACAGGCACAAATAGGGCCACCAGGGCCAGCCCTCCCCCTGGTCTGCACACTCAGGACAGCTGAACCCCTCCATGGCTAAGGCATGCTACAGAGAAAAAAAAACACTTACTGCTCACAGAAGGTACCATTTGCAGATGCTCATCACACCAAATTGCTCTGCAATTAGTGTTCTTCATGAAGGTGAACTGAGGCCCTTTGCAGAAGGGAAGTCGTATTTCCTAAGGGAAACCAGAGAAACAATCTCCCACATTGGATTTAATTCCTGTAGGAGCAGAGGCACAGAGGGGCTCTGCTGTCACCACTCCTGCTTCTCACCCTCCCTCCAGCGTGTCCCTGCCCATCCTCTCCCTGGACCAGCAGTCGAGGCCTTGCCTCAGTCCTGCCTGGAATCTGCAAAGTTGGCTGGGAGAAGCTGCAATCAGTGCTCAACCCCCTAATACCATTTTTATGAGTGACGCAGGACAAGGATGAATTGTGGTTTTCCACTGGCTTTATGCTCTGGTACCTTGTGATCAACACTCATCCCCCTCAATTCGGGGGTGCAGCCAGGTCCCAGCACCACTCAGGGTCACAACAGCAGCTGAGACCTTACTACCTCACCACAAATGAATTAATTTCAAATTGTGCATGAAACACCTTGCCGTCCCTGAACTGTGCAAAATCAGCAGGGTTTGTTCTGTGTAA